AAAAAAAAAAAAAAAACATATTTAGGTGTAATTTTGGGGGGCTGGGAACCAATTAATTGGCTTTCCAGTATTTCTTATGGGAAAAATTCTATCAGAACTCGAACTTTTTAGGATTCGATCCGGAGTCCGGAACGGATTAAGTTCGAGAACCGAGGTACCACTGTATTCTGTTAACCTGAGAAATTATAATACTTGCACTGCTTGTCAATTGGAAGCTGAGCCTAGCTGCACTTTATACCCAGCAGACTTCTTGACAGCTCTATGCTTGTAATGTACCATCTGCCTCATTTGTACATCGCTTAGGAGGATTGCATCTGTTACATAAATAAATGTACATTACTGTGCATTAAAATACTGACCAATCACCACCCTGTGGGTTCCTCTCCCACTCACGCACACGCCTCATACCCATAAAGCAAGGCGTGGTCCAGGTGCTCGCAGAGGCGCTGTAGCACGCGGTCGTGGTTCCTGATCGCTGGGGCCTCGTCCTCACAAGCCGCAAAGTAGCTCTGCAGCTAGACACAGACCACAAAGGCGTACTGTCCCGTCAGCTGGGCGCTTCGTGGTAACCAGTCTCTGAGAATCTCCCAGATAAACAGACAGTAATTTCTGAATCTTTATGAAACCCAAGACCATTACGATGCTTAAATGAATGTAAAATCATGTCATTTTTCAAAAGGCATTAATTTAACAAGGTAGCAACCCATAGAGGCCTATATTAAGGAAGCCTTAGATAAATTTATAATCAAAATCCAAACTGAATACAACAGTACAGATACTACACCCAGAGCTTAAAGTAAACAAAGAAAAAAAAAATCAGCAGAATTCTGGGCTCAAGGGTCACATCATACAGAGCAACAACCTCGCAGAGGCACAAAACAAATCATACTGCAAAAAGGGAAATTTAGAAGGCTTAAGTGCCCAAACATGACTACACAATGTGACCTAGTTCGCCTGGCCCGGGCAAAAACCTGCGTCCCACATATTACTAAAAAATCCTACTGTGTCGATCAGTGCAATAAGAGCAGCGTCATAATAGATAGACATAACAGAGCGATACAGGCGGCATGAGAAGCTTATATTTTCTCTTCGACTAATAAGACATGCGCCATCCCTGCCGTCTCCAAGTAAAAACAGCGTCCCCGCATCTAGGAGTCGGTACCACCGACCTTCTTCACGGAGAGAGAAATGTTTTCCAGGATGCCGTCTTTGACTTTAAAGGGATCCATCACCGCTCGGCTTCTCCCAGGCCGCCGGGCCTCCAACCGCACGCCGGTGCGGAGCTCCTTTACGGACGTGGCGATCGCAATCCCACCGGGCGTCGGCTCGATTTTCCGGCGAATACAAGCGCTGGGTGCTTCGGGTGCTTTCATCCGGCCGGGATAAAGAGGTGCGCCGCTCCGACTGGCCTCGATCACCCTCTTACAAGGCAGATCCCAGCATTTAAATTACCTGGTTAAACGCATAAATAAATACCTCTGAAATTATATACAAATACATGGGGGGGCATCAAGAATGTCCAGTGAATGGTGATGCAATGCAAAAATATTGCATGAAGGTTCACCGTCTAATGCACCGTCTGGGTGCAGAAGTTACAACCGGTGCAATGATCACATCAGTTATGATCGTACATATTAAAAATAACCAGGTTTCGGGAATGTCAGCTGTACCACGCACCTGCTCTGGGGATGCTCCATTCGGCTTTCCCCGCTACCCTTGTTGTCTGGCAGCCCCTAAGATGGACAGTCTGCCGGCTACAGGTGCAGGTCTTCGCGTCTCAGGGTGGAAGCGAGCGAGCGGACGGAGGGAGGGACGGAGGGAGAAACAGCGGATCGGGCTGTGGAGCGGTACCCGCATGCCGGAGCGCCGCAGCCGGGCACGCCTGTTGGGCAGGGCAGTCACCGTAAGCTGCCTTTCAGCCGGCTCACTGCTATCACCAAGGTCCGCTCGGCTCTGCACGGGCTACGACAGAGACGGAGATTACGCCATAGCACGACCGACCTTTGCAGAATCAGCATCTCCCACGGTTCGCTTCAGAATGAACCTGCGCTTCACAGCGGCGGAAGTGACGTCGTGCCCGGAAACGCCCGCTTACCTTTATTCCCCACTATCTTTATTGAGGTACTATAAACTTGCATTTATATTATATATATTATATTATATTTATACCCATATAAATGGGTATAAATAATGTACAATAGAATATGACCGTATACAATAGTAATAGATAATATAGTTCTATTACATATATCTTCATTATATGAATTTAATCTGTAAATATTTCTTTCCTACCTCGGTGTTAATTATACTCTGGCAGTAAAACAACAAATCTTAGAGATCATTAATTTATTTATATTACTGTGAACTTCCCTTCCAGTTTTCTGAATGATTTGCTCGGTTGTAGTATTCTGAAATTGCATTACATTTTAATTTTCAGCATGTAACCAATGAAAGTGTACTTTCCGTGACCTGAGGAACAAAAGCGTCTTACAAGGTGTTTTAGGGTCCTAAATATTTTATTGAATATCCATCCATTTTCCAAAACCACTTATCCTATTCATGGTCGCGGGGATTTATTAAACAATTTAATATAAAAACACATTTTTCTGTCATACACCCAAAAAATATTCATTTGTAAGAAAAAAAAAACACCAGCATTTCTCTCTGCGCCCCACCCCATAGGGGATAGAAAAGGCTTCAGTTGAGTAACATTCTATTTAAGTTGCATGTAAATTTTCAGAGGAACACACTTTTTTTCCAGTGACTTCAAAGAGAGAATACTACTGCGTGCATTATCCTCTGTCCTACACAAATCTGTGTAATGTTGGATCTCTTACCTGTGATATAAGGCAGCTGTATGACCACACACAGCTGAAGGGTTTTACACATGGTGCTAAAACAGAGTATCATATGAACGTGGTGTGTGGGGGGAATTGCTTTGGGGAACATTACCACTGATGCATAGCAGTATTGTTCATGCAATGTTATACCACAGGAACCCTAAAGGAACCATCAAGCAGAACTGATTCAGCCCTGCATGGAGTCAAAGCCCAGTGGCTTAACACCTTCAGCATATCTGTACAATATAAACAAATGTAAACAAAACCAGGCTTGTAAAATATAAAGAACCCATTTTATTAATTTCTTTTATCATGTGTACAAGATCAAACTGAAAAATCCATACAGCCTGTTGTAGTACATACATTTTTTTAAGAAAAAAAAAATATTAATATCCTAAGGATAAAATGATGAATGAGAAAATGCAGTAACGGCTGGATTGGGCATCCTAAGAAAGTGAACAGAGATTGAACCTGAACTGAAAACCGAAACGACAGAGAAAAGACAATACCCTGAAATCGAGGTTTAAAAAAAAAAATATTGGCTTAACGCAAACTACCCACAGGTCCAATCCAAGTAAAACCTTGTCCAATGTCCAACAAACAGGAATTTATCAGCATATCTCACAGCTACTTCAATTCAAATAAGGTAAAATTGTAATAATTAAGGTATAAAGGAGAAACGAGAACGAAAGGCTGCATTTCTTTTTTGCAAAATACAGATTTAAAAAAAAAAATCAGTCTGCATCAAATATTGCAGCATTCCCCAAGCAGTCTATGATTGTAACTGACAGTATCTGCGTGAATGACTGACTGATAATGAGCGACAAAATGATCACAGATAAATCGCAGGATTTATAGGCAAGGGATGGAAAATTAAGGAAAATGATCCCACAGCACCAGCTCGCCCTGCAGCTTCCATTATCTCCTCAGTTTCTCTCATCACCTCATGCATTAGAGCTTATTAGGTACATGCGGGGGAGTGGGCTATTAAACTCATTAAAAGTGAAAGACATGTCTGCCAAACAGAACTTTCTCAGCGGCCACTGTGGTAAACACAAGGAGGGGAACGCCAGTGCAGACTGGAATATGACGAATTCTTTGACACGAATTTCCAGTTTGCATGTGATCATTCGCTTCAGCCTGTGGCATATTCAGTAGTCTTCTCTGAGGATTTAACATATTCTCAGCTTGGGAAATGGGGCCCATTCTGGAGAGCGAAAAGGCGTATGGTATAGCAGAACAATGCACTTCTTTATGGAACATGAGTTGGGTAGTTTTGAGGATCCTTAGGGTTGGGAAGAAGGGCGGCGCGTGAACAAGCGAATGTTCTCTGTGCACTTTTACAAAGGGGGGGGGGGGGGGGGGGGGGGAATAAAAAAAAAAAAAAAAAAAAAAAAAAAACATCATCCTGCAGCGCAGAACGACACTTGTGTAAACCACTCGCTAAATACGCTAACGTTAGAATTACAAAAAAATCTCTCCGTATCGTTTCATATTGGTTTTTTTTCTTTGCGTTATGAAACATCCACTCTAAGATCTGCTGACCTATCAGCTCATCGTTGACTCCGCCTTTGCAACGGGCAGAATTTTTATTAGAAAAGGGAAAATGCGAGCTGTTCTGTGCAAGATGCATAAAGACAGAACCAGAATCCAAACACCTGACCAACTCTTCCAAAAAAGTTACCTGTTCAATGATGTCATTTAACTCAACATGCAATCTTCAAAACACCATAGTATAAAAAAACCACTGATCATGTTTCTCTTCTATCCATATCATTGTCCATTAAAAACTCCGAGCTTGTATTGAATTTATACTACTGAGTGGACAGGAAGGCTTGGGCCTGGTCCAAACCATGGCTTAATGTCTGGACTAATGCAGGGAAAGTCTGGGGTGTGGTTTCACAGGGTTCTTGGGGGGTGGATGTCAAGAATCTATGTGGGCACAGTGATCTTACGAGCCAGCAGCAGCAGCAAAGCCAGCTCCACGATCCCCTGGGCCAGCTCCAGAGCCTCGGCGGCCTCCCTGGCCGAGAATCCAGCCTCCTGGATCCTCTGGATGTGCGCAATTGGAAATCTCTCCATGGCAGGAGGTGGGGGAGAGGGAACAACTGAGGGGGTGGGAGGGAGGAGAGGAGGAGGAGATAGGGAAGGCATAGAAGGCAGCGGGAAGGGAGGCTGAGGAGGAGCATCTTCCAGGGTGGTAGGAGGAGAAGAACCAGCAGCCGCGGTCGAGGGATCGGACACGTCGCCAGAAGGGAAGGTATGACACGGGGAGGACATGGGAGGAGAGAGCTCGTCTACAGCCGATACCTCCATTCGGAAATGTGAGAGATCAGTGGCTTCTGGGCCAGCTGCTCTCCCATCTGCGATGCCTCTGCCCTGAAGGCCCTCAGGAGCCTGTCGGACATCCATGCTCTCCAGATCCAGCGGAGGCAGCGGACCAACGCATGGCCCAGGCTCCGGCCCCCTTATCTCCTCCACCATACTGAAGGCCTCCTCACTTTCTCCCATCGCGTCCTGGCACCTCACCTCCTGCTCCTCTGGCAGCTCTTTTCCCAGGTTCTCCACTTGGCCAGAGGAGTCCACAGACATGGGAGTAAGGGAAGATAAGTTGGGATCTGGGACACACTCGGATTTGGCTGCACCGGTTTCCATCGTGGTCATGGCAGTAGCACCAGTGACAAGATTAGTCGGTTCCCAGGCCGATTCAAGGGACCCGGGGAAATGACCCTCATCTACCCCATCAGCATCTTCCCTGCAGGTCGGCGAGGGGATAGGGCTATGTTCCCGGGACAGGGTACAGCGGTTGGATACCAGAAGCTCGTGCAGCTCCATTAAGGCAGCAGCCAGGGAGGGCATGCCGTCCGAGCCAGGCTGTCTTTCGCCCTCCGGCTGGTCTCTCTCCGGCTGGGGAGCTTCTCCGGTAGCCGCGTGCAAGTCCGCGATTTCCGCCAATGGGGTGCCAGGTGTGGAACACAACTCGGGGGTGGCAGCAGGAGTGTCGGGAGTCGGTTTGGCATCAAGGGAAAGCAGAAGTGGATGCTGGGGACTGACTGCCTCCGAATCCTCCTGCTCAGGTGGAGATTCCAGTGAAACAAGCGGCTGAGCCTTTGTAGAATCAGGAAGGCAATCTTGGACTAGCTCTGGCGGTGGGGCGGGGCTAACGTCAGGGCAGCCAATAAGGGAGAGCGGGACGGACTCTGCTTCCTCTTCCGTAGCAACAGAGGTGGCACTGACCTCCATGGCTGTGGGTGCTCCACACTGGACATTCCCTGAGTTTGAGTGACTCGAGGGCTCGCCCTCAGGACTGGCACACATGGGGGGGTCTGGGGGGTTGCAGCCAAGGGGGTGGGACGGGGAGCCCAGCTGGGAAACGTTAGCCTGTGCTGGCACTAAAGTCGTGGGCGCAGGCTCAGTGAGACCCTGAAATTGAGACTGGCTGGGGCTGGGCACAGACATCGGCGCTGCCTCTGACAGGGGGGGGCGCAGGAGGGCGGGGGCAGACTTGGAACGGTCCAGGGCAGGGAATCGGGAGTGGTCCAAGGGAGAGGCGGACACTGGAATTTCGTCATTTTGGTTCGGTGAGGACCAGGGCCAGGACTGCTGTGAGGTAGTTCGTCCATCTTCAACGTCTGCAAAAGGCACGAAACAGCGGCGGTCAAACGATGGCGTTGGCTGCGCATGGCAGACCGCGAAGCAGGAGGTCATGCTTGGAAACGGCGAAACATGCAGGAAACCTAATCAGCCAAAACATTTCTGGGAGCCGTTCTGCTCATCTGATTGGTAATAATTAGATGTTCAATTTAAGAAGCAGGAGTCTTTAAAGGCTGACAGGTTCAGAACTTCTCAGTATGCGAAGCAAGGCTGGGCTGAACTTGAAGTCAAGGAAAATCTACCAACCGACTACCAGGCTTGATTTTTATTTGCAGGCCTATAGCTTTCAAATTAGCTTCAATTTAATTTTAAATAGCACCATTCATAACAGAGTCACCCAAAGGCACTTAGGAGTGGGTGACAATCCATTATTACATTATTTATACATGGTAAGAAGGAAATGCTCTGGGACGGACATGAAGCCTGGTGATCTCTGTGCTTGGAAAAAGCTGCAGATGTACCTCTTGGTGGGTCCCTCTCCAGCCGTCCCTCGACATGCATCAGTCTCGCTCTGCTGGGGGAGGGTGTTAGGGCACACGCGCACACACAAACACGCACACACAAACACGCACACACAAACACGCACACACAAACACGCACACACAAACACGCACACACAAACAGCACGCGACAAAAGGCAGAGAGTTAGCACACACAAACAAACGCATGCAGTATCCCACCCGCCTCATACGCCAGACGCTTCTGACGTTCCAGGTGGGAATGAAAGAGCCTAGAGCTCAAATCCACCGAGGAGGTCAGCCATCCTTGCATCATGTCACCTCACAAACCAGTTTTAACTGGTTATTTACTGCCACTTCAACTTCTGAGTACAAAATGCATGATCTACCCATTATTAGTTACAACATTAAGTACCTTAATAGTAGTAACACAATCATCATTAATGTTTAATAATGATTAATGATATCATTCCTGTAGATTGGAACAGGCCGTGTAGCATAGTTAGATGGGTAGGCATAGACTTTGAACCACATACACTAGTGGTCACCGGCTGGCTAGCTGAGGTCTGTATCTGGACAGAAATACAACTGAATCCAGCCCATGTATGATCCCCCCCGCCAGTTAATTCAATTGTCAAGGGACCCCCTGGCCTGCAATTATTTTTTTCAGACGCAGTGGATTTCAGCTGTGCCCGATTTCAGGGGTCTTATCCTTCGGAGGACGTGGTCTTCGTGGCCTTTGTAGGCTGCGTCCTTCGAAGGTCTGCGCAGTGAATTTTGGGACAGGTTAGGCTGCGAAGGATCCACCGGGTAGATCCTTTGCAGCTTGCATTCTGAGGACAGCCTTGTCGCGCCGCCATGACACATTCGGTCTTCGACTGCAGCCTTAGAAGGATGCAGCCCCTGAACTCGGACACAGCCTTCGTACTGCCGGAGGAATTTGGCGTTTGGGGAAAAATGGTTGAAATGGACCGAAGGGTAACAGACGCCATAGCTGGTGACCTGTTCCATTTGCAGACCTCCAAATATCTCCAAATGCTCTAAAGGCTGCTGCCATGAACTGGTCACCCACAGCACACGTGTTCGTGCAAAGTGCCGTCATGTGGGGTTGGGGGGGTGGATCTGTGGTAGCAGCAGTGCCCCCACACTACATGCAGAGCGACTCTCTCTGTACTCATGGTAACCCTTCAGCTCCTGGCCTCCTGCGCCTCCCCAGGCATCCTCACCGCTCTCCTGCGCGGATCTCTGCAGCACCTCCGCCAGCTCGCGGTCGGCGATCTCCTCCGGCCGTGTCTCGGCGCCGTACGCCAGCCGGGCACACTCAGGCAGCTCCGCCTCGGGCAGGAAGCGCGTCTCCGAGCCCGTGGTGCCGATGAGGAGCACGCTCTTCTTCAGGTCGATAGAGCACTGTGGGGGAGGGGGGATATGGTCATTGGGGCAGGTCCCCCCCCACCACACCACCACAAGCGTGAGTGGACGCCAACCTGGTGCCTCTTGAGCATGTCCAAACCCAGCAGCATGTCCATGGGTTGGTCCTCCAGGATGGAGAAGGAACATGGCAGAAAGTCACCCTCAATCTGGACCTGGGCTGGGGACAACAGAGACCCCACCCCGAGCTATCAGGAGGCACATCAGGAGTCACTTGATTGGCCGAATAAATGTGAACTAAGTCCGTCTTCTGGGACTCACATTTCAAACAAAGCTGGAACACTGCAGTTTTTAGCAGTAAAGGACACTAAAAGCCACGCGACTTATTTTTGCTGCCCTGCCTGCAGAGTGACTCGAAAGGTCACTTTCTGAAACCTGGGACCCTCGGGTCACGTGACGCTGGCGTACCCAGGTGTACCCTGCCGATGATCTTCTGCGTGCCGACGCCCTTCGCTATGCCCGCCCAGCGCCGGTCCACCAGCCGCATGATGTTACAGCGCTCGGCGCAGGCCTGGCTCATGATCGTCATCTGGGCTCCTGGGGTCAGAGACAAAGGGGGGGGGGGGGCTTTAAGCAGAGGACCAGCTGAATAGGTCCTCTGGCCCTTTAAGACAAACTCATGTGTTATGGAACTGAAATACATACTAATACGATGGATACGGCAGTAAAGTCTGTTCAAGGCTTCATCATCATCATCATCATCATCCTCCTCCTCTCACTTTCTACTGCCCTTTCATCTCAATCCATCCTGCTCTTCATCAGAGACTCTCGGGGAAAATCAGCCTCTTATTCCCCCCCCCCCCCAAAAGGTGGATGGCACCACCATGTTTTAACAATCAGGTTAAACCAGTAACAGGATGGAGCAACCCCCCCCTGGGCGCTTCCAAACTAGATCCTGCTTATTACTACAGCCTCAGTCTGTGCACTGAGGAGAACTTTCTAGATGAGCCTGGAAACAATTAGATTCTGCAGCTGCGTTTGGAGGGGAAATTGCATGCCTCAGCGTGTGTGCATTATCTGTATATATACACACACACACAATATATTACCAAAGGTCCCCACAATGTGATAAAAACCTGTTATTTTGATGTTGTGGGGACCATTTTTTCGGTCAGCAGCCTCTCACCAGAGTCCACAAAGGCTTTGACCGGGTGCCCGTTGACCTTGCAGTTGATGTAGAGCATGACCACCTGGCCGAAGCTCTCGGGAGCCTCCTCCATGGCGATCGTCATGTTCTCCTCGATGTTGTGCCGCCTGGACAGGAAGAAAACAGCACGAGCTTGCAGGGATCTACACAAGGGCACATAGCCAATCTGTGTAATGGAGGAACGAGGGGCAAAGACCGGACAGCGAAGGCGGCAGCTAAAGACCAGCTAGACCTACAGGGTGTTTTCAGTGGCTCTATAGCTTGTGCAGTAACTTTGACGAAACACTAACCATCTATCCTCCATAACTGCTGATTCAGGGCAAGGTCAGGGAGCGTCTGGATCCTGTCCCAGGAAGCACAGGGGACGAGGCAGGGGGGCACAGCACAGCATGCCAAGCCATTACACGGCACAGCAGTGCTAAAATGCTTAGATCCAGTTTTAACACATTTTCTCTTTTTTTTATTATTACTATCTACTTTGTATTTCACTTTGTAACTATCTGCTAAGGGAGGCTTGAGGAGGCTCAGATCCTTCGTTATATTGTTTACGTAGGAGTATTGTAGACCTTTTCATACTATCTGTGATCATCCATCCATTTTCTGTACCTATTCAGGGTTGTAGGGCTCCATACTCTATTCCTGGAGGCTACTGGCGCAAGGCGGGGAACAACCCGGGATGGGGCGCCAACCCATCACAGGGCACAAGGCAGGGAACAACCCAGGATGGGGTGCCAACCCATCACAGGGCACAAGGCAGGGAACAACCCAGGATGGGGCGCCAACCCATCACAGGGCAGACACACCATTCACACACACCTGCACACCTACAGACGGTTTGGTAACTCCAATTAAGCTCAGTGTGGACTGGTGGGGAAACCGGAGTAAGAAACCCCACTATGACTCGGGGAGAACATGCATGGAGCCATGGGGGAGAGCCTGGTCCCAGAGGTGTGACTGAACTGTGCCATATAAACACAGTGACCAGGCTTCAGAATCCATACTCACACACCTGATATCCTCCTCTATTTTGGCCTGTGCCTCCAAGTCGAAAGGGTCAGAGGTGAGTAGCCGTATCCTCTCTTGCTCGCGGCGTGCTCGATCCTGCTGCTGCTCCAGCAGCACCTTCGTGAAACGCTCTGCAAAGCAAGGGGAGGCCAGAGGTACAGGGAGACTTGGGGCAACCCGCATTTCACACCAGGGAAGAAGCAGGCGATCGAAACGGCCCACACCCACCTAGGTCTCCACTCAGGAGGGCGTCGGCCAATGGCGGGTTCCTCTCCTTTAGGAGGGACAGTTCATGGGGATTAGCCAATAGCATGTCGCGCAGAAGGGACGGGTTGTCCAATCCCTGTGGCGAGGAGGCGGGACCCATGAGAGAGGAGTCCAGGGCCTGGGGCGGAGATTGCGGCTGCAGGTTTGGTTCTGGCTGCTGTGGCTGTGAGGGTGGGGGCTGGGCGGAGGAGGTGCCCGGCACGGCGATGGAGCTGAAGTCAATGCGGGGGAGCCCTGGGAAAAGGAGGGAGAGGGAGTGAGCCATGAGGAGGCAGGCAAAAGGAAGGAGGTGCCGTATGGGTAGAGATAAGAGGAGCACAGACTGGACAAGAGGCAGAGGAGTGCAGGAGATGGTGAGACCACTAAAAGGGAGGAGGGACTAAGGGAAAAGCTAACAGAAGTGCAAGCTATACACACGAAAACACCACAGTCAGAGGCTGGGAGCCTGGAAAATACCCCCGTGGGAAAAGGGGGGGGGGAAGATTAAAGATCAGCAGCGGCTTAAGAGAATGTGAGCACAGATCTGTGCTGAGGGACACCCCGGTGGTACCTGGAAAGGCGGGCTGGGCCGGCGGCCGCCTCTCTGCCTGCCTGAGCACCACCACGTCCCCGTCCTTCAGGCCGTAAGCCCCCAGGGCACGCGTGGGGTCCTGGAGGGGCTGCTCCGCGTAGGAGATCTGGCGGGGGGGCAGACAGCAGATCCATTTGATAAGGTTTCCGTTTTCTCCAACACCACAGTTGGGGGAAAACAATTACTTGTACAGTACAGCAGGGGTTACAGAAAGCGCCTAAACACCCGAGTTCAAAGACTAGATAGACAGACTGACTCCAAGGTGACTATGTCTCTTCGATATTATTACTGACAATCCAGTTGCACTCAATACCGAGCAAAACCATTGTAGTTCCGTTTGTTCCTCAAGCAGAGGAGCCAAGACGTTACTTTAAAAGTTGCCCTCACAACGTGGATGACTGAAAATGAAAGGGAAATCCAAGCATGCAACTAATCAGCCTATTTATTGCAGAGCCATAAACTTCATTTAATGCATCTTTGTTACATTTCTCTTAAACAATGCAAATCTTCCTATTTCCTATTATGTGTTTTATTGGGGACAGCGTTTTACGTGTAATAGATAGTGCCCCACTAATTTAGCATCTGGATTAGACGTTTTTTAAGGTGTTAACTAAATCAAAAACTAAAGCAATGACACCCGATTATAATCTCATTAAGCCTTAGTGCCAGCAGGCTAGCCTCTCCGATCCGGTACTACCAGCCATGGGTATGAGTACTTCATTAAAAGCCTGCGGCAGAAACCCATTCGCCGGGCAGAGTGACCGGGCGATCCCGCAGCGCAGCGCCGCGCCGCTCCGCCGCTTCACCTGGATCTCCGCAGCCGGGATCCCCGACTCCAGCTCGCACAGAGCTATGAAGTCCCGCAGCTCCAGCTCGGGAGACACGTCCAGAGAGAAGGTGATCTCCGAGCGGTCCCTCGGGGCGCAGAAAACGGTCACCAGCATCGCAGCGTCGGGGTTTAATCTGTCACCGAAACCCGCGGCGGACGGGCGTCGCTTACCCGGCTGATGGCTACTTTTAGCTAGCCTTCTTAAATTTAACTTAGAAAGCCGGGGGGAAAGGGGGGGGTCAAAAGGAATTTCCAAACCCAGTTTAAATGTGGCTTGTAAAATCGGCTCGGATGAAGCACTTAGGCGAGCCGATCAGACGACCTCACATACGGAGGGGATTACTCACACACGCCGACAACAGCGAAAACGAAAACAGTTCTTTCTTTATTGCCTTTCCCTCACTTCCTCGGTGATGTTGCCACATTGCCGTAAAGAAGGACTGGCGACTGTCGCTGTAATTGTCGTGACTGCCGCAAATCGAATTTAAAGAGACCCAGTTGGCTTGGGTACTGTGTAATACCTGTATATTTTATTTATTTTTCTTTAGCAAATTGTAAATTTGTAGGAGAGCGGTGGTGGAGCGTGTATGTGCATTTTTTGAGTTAAGGATGGCTCACTTTTTTACTGTATATGTGAGCCATGTAAACAATTTTGTAAATTAATATTTGTTTGAGCAAGCATGTTATTTGACATGTATTCAAGTTCCAGTTATATTTAAACTCTTTGTAATTGTAATTTTATAAAAACCTACATTTAAGAATATGGATTTATATTTTATTGTGTATAGATTTTTTATCCAAGAAGTTATCAGCAGGAACGTTACTTTGTCTTATGTATTTTCTCGTCCATCTTCTAATTCCAAGTCTTTCCTAGGCAGTGGTACACTCAACAAATGGTGCATGCAAGCAAAATGGGCAATTTAGAGACATCAGTTTACTGTATGTCTACAGCCGGAGAATATACAGTGCAGAGGTAGGACTGAACCCCTCCAGTTCTGGGGGTGTGAGGTCACCTTGCCACTCATAGTTTGTTCGCTGCTAATTGATAAATGAGTTTGCTAGTGTAACCAAAATGCTAAATATTACATACATTACACCTGTTTGATACCCCTGGTAAAATCTGCTGGAAGTACCTAAAGACTTAGGCCCCAATTTCATGAATATAATCCTTTGATAAAGTACCACTTTCCTTTTGTTAAATAATTCTTATAAATCCACTTATAGCATTTTCAGGCATATAATCAAAGGACCTGTTCACACCTGGTATTAACATGCGTCCTGGTTGATCCAATCGCAAGTGGAATGCACTAATACAGGTGTGAACGGACCCAAAACAGACCGAGGACGCATTGAAATTGGTCTTGTAATTCACCAACAGTCATCCATGAGGATTTTTTGCCGCTCTTATGATTCTCCTCACTGTACATGGGGGGGGGGATATACTTGGGTTCCACTTTATTATTGCCCTATCAGTAGAAATGTGCATTTTAAGGCAATTAGCTATTTTAAGAAGGTCAACACACTTCTCCCTCATTTGGTCTGTATGTTCTCTTCTCTTTCCCATGTTGATGAATGACTAAGGGAATTTGCGCTTTGTGTCACCTAATGTTTGTATCCCTGTTAACCAGGAAGTAATGGATTACAGCTTGAAGGTTCCTATTCACTCCACTCAACTCAAAGATGTACAATTTATACAGAAAACATGCTTGTTACATTGTGTTCACTATAATTTCTATAGGTGCCAATAATCGTGGCACACGTGTTTTTCAAAGAATTTCTTGATAAATTTATTCCAAGAAAAAAAATCCTGAATGAAGGTTTTTCTCAATTTTTCAGTAACATGAAGCTGCTTCACCAAATGGTAGATTTTTTCCAACCCTTTTTGCAAATCTGTACAAGGGGTGCCAATAATTGTGGAGGGCGCTGTATTTATTTATATTTTTATTGATTTCATCTTGAGTATTATGGCACTCCATGCAAACATTTTAGGTGGTTTGGTTTCCCTGAAGTGAGCAAATAGCCTTTGATTATTCGGCAGATTCTGCATACGGAAGTGATTTACGCGACATGCTTATCAACTTATAAATTGCAGGAAAGTGAGATCCGATCACAAGCGGTCGGTTGAGACGCAGGCGGAGACACACGTTAATACCAGGAATGAACGGACGTAATTAGCGGTGCTCAGTTGTAACCGGATCACCCAGGATGCATGTTAATATCAGGTGTGAACAGGGCCAAAGTGATGGATAACTGCTTGGGGCATTTCTTAAGTAACACTGGTGATCTTGGGTGACAGAAGTACGGAATACAAACTGACATGTTAGGGTGGGATGTCAACATTTTATTGACCAAATGGATATTGGTAAAATTATCAAAACAAAAAAATGAACTTTGACATAAAAATAAAACAGACCAACAAAAACAGTTAACATCCATTCCAATGAATCTGTATCCGTTTAGACTGAAAAACAAATCTGTCATTTTCTTTAAGTGGCATTTTTTTAAAAACTTCCCCCAGACAAGAATCACAACACATTAAATATCCTATTAAGGTTCTGATCACACCCAAATCTGCCCGTCTAAGGAAGCCCACCCCGGCTCCCCAGCACCCCCGTTTGCCCCGCCCCCCCTACTCAGATTTCTCCTTCTCTTTCATGTGGAGGAAGACAATGCTGAAGATGAAGAGCCCAGCCATCATGGAGAACACGCTGGCGTAGTAAGGGTATGCCGAGGGGATGAAGCGCTCGTACTGGGTGTGCTGTAGGGGGCGCACTGACACCTGGGGAACAGGCAATGGAGGAGAAGGAACGTCAGCATTTAGTTCAAGGGTGCACTTGACCATACTTGTGTTCTTGTGTACCCGTTTTACGTCGTCATCCATTGCCAAAGACCAGTTCCGATACTAAGAACAGAAGTACGGAGGACAGTAAAAATCCCTGGAAGTAGTTCTTGCCCAGTCTCAAATTTCAAGCATACATCGGTTGCATCCTTCCCAAATGAGACCAATCCCATGATGCATTGCACCCCAAGTTTGTTCTTGGGGGGCAAGTCAACAAGACCACTCTTGCCAAGACCAGAAGAAAAGGAATCTTTGCGTCCCAGGTATTGAGAAAGACCCCCCAGTGTAGTCGTTCTCATACCATTACACGCCTGCCGGGGTGAATCCAGAGGGCTGCTCACCTGGGTGGATGAGTACAGGTGTGTGTATCCCAGCCGGTTGTAATCCACCTTGAACTGGAACACTCCATACACATCAGGTAGCTTGAACTGGACGCTGTACTTCCCACCTGCAAGAGCAGAGCAAAGTGACTCATGCATGAAGTCTGCAACATGTACATTATAGGGGCACTTTGACCATGAGGGTTCTCCCAAGAGACAGAGGGACCAAGGCAGCATATATCCCCCCCCGGTGGGATGCCGCAAATGATTCAGCCAAACCGCAACTTTGGACTGTGGTAGGAAATGGCACCAGGGAATAACCAACAGAACCCCCTAGAATCCACGTGAACCCCACACACACCTGGAGCGGGGACCAAACACAGTCATCACACCACTCCAAGGCAACTCAATATAATCCAAATGACAACAGGGATAGGCAGTCCGGTGTGTATGCAGGTTTTTGGGGTAACCTTTAGGTCACCTGTTCAAACCCAGGTGTGAGGACTCTTCAGCCAATCAGTCCTCTAATTAGTAATCTAATTAGGGAATTGCAGTGAAAACCCGCACACACAGCGGCCCTTTCTGGGTAAGACTGCCCACCCCTCCAAGGGGTGGAAGACCTTTCACGACTGAACACGCACCATTCTTCTTCAGGTAAGTCCTAACGAACGGGTCGATCCTGACGAACTCCAGCTGAATATCATCTCCGTCGAAAGGCACCCACTTTCCGTTGGACAGCTTCTCGATCACGATGCTGTACTCCTGAAGAAGAGTGAGGGGGCAGGGCACCATGAGACCCCAGTCTCACAGACGACTGGAATCAGGAGCTGGAGAACCTCAGAAATCAGGCGGCGTAAAGGTCCTGGCTGCTCACCACGAGGTCCGTGATGGTGTAGGCGGCTGGGGGACTGCTCTCCCCGACTGGGTGGTGACTTACAGCCCCGACCCTCAGAACACCCTCCTCCTTGAACACCCAGCGGGACAGCGCCACAGCGAGCTCCATGTTCCCCGTCTGTGCGTGCCTTTGAGGGACAAGGACGCTTAAGCGTTTCAGACTGCATCTCGGCCATCCGACAGGGAACACCCTTATTCCTCAAGAGTTCCACTACCGGCACTTCAACAGCAGAACAGTGGCCATTCTTACAGAAACAGCCACACAAGTAATCACAAGCAGGCCAACAGGCAGAAAATTAATTGAAAAAGTCTAAAAAGAAACAAGATTAATAATTTTTGATCCTGGGGGAAATTCGTTTGCATATGCCCAGGGCTGTCACTATCACACTGCGATGTAATCATGATTATATGACGCATGTGCAATAATCACCAGGGGCGGGTGAAAAATCGGTCTGGATGCCGGCTTTTTGGTACTACACGGACGTTCACTTATGCCGACAATTTGGTAAGCAGGTTAATAGCGTGCCTAAAATATTAACGAGAGGCGTATTGTGACGCCCATAAGTTAGTAATCTATACAAATTTGGGGTATCCTTATGTTTATTAAATTTGGTTAGCGGAGCACGCCACATGCAACTGTTATGGTAAATCATGGAAGCGATAGGCACTGTGCAAATGGCGGTGAAGAAGGTGACGAAGTAAAAAGATGTCGGTGATGTGGCGGTAATTTAAAGACCAACATATTTATTCACAGTGAGGGCAGGGGGGCGGAGCTACCTCTCAGAGCCAGGCACAGCCTTCTGGACGGGGGAGTTGAAGGCGGCATCACTGAAGAACTGCAGAGACCCGCTGAAGACTACCCGAGCGTTGTTTCTGGCCTGGAGGCCTGCGATCAGCAGGGTGTTCTTGCCCACGGCGTGGGGGTACTATGGAAAAGGGGAGGAGGAGGAACACACACATCTTCACATAGCTGCGTGTGCTTTTCCAGAACAGCTGAAATGTTCATAATGAAAAATGCTTGACATCACACCAAAGGTTATAAGACATATAAAGTTACTTCTCATAAAAGCTATAAAGCTACTAAAAAGTTACTGTAGAACTGCAATCTATAAAAATTACTGTAAAGAACGTTTAACGTATGATCAAAGAATCAATGCTATTAAACCAGCAGGACCTAACTAGACACAGAAGTGCATTTAGCTATTCTATTGTACATGTGCTCCGTAGAATATCAAGTCACAGAGGAAGGTACCTGGGTGATGGGGCGGTCAGGGAAGAAGGAGTAGGATGTGGAGGAACCGGTCAAGATGTCCAGCACCAGTGGGTTATCGGGGTCAGCCACCATTCTGGGAGGAAGGGAGGTTACATCAGTTACCATCCACCATAAATATAGGCTCACAAAGATATACACTC